ATTGTACTTTCGTCAGATTGTACTGTAAACTAAACAGCACTAACGGTTGTCCTGTACAATTTTCGGAATTATTCTACGATTTATGTCTGTCTATGCTTCTATTTTACGTGGTCTCAGATACTAAAAAGTAATATCATCAAATGTTTTGAAGTTTGGATTCTTAAAAATTCCAAAACACAACATGATGATATTTTCAGATACATGCGTTTGGTAAAAACTAATGGTTTTTACCTGAGTGGTGCGAAGTGAAATTTTCTTCATGTTGGTAGTGTTGAAATAAACGTTTCATCACCGTCGGTTGGTAGAGAGAAGTGTCAAACGGCTTTTTGTGCAGAGCCGATTCGTGACTTTGTGATTGTTTGTTGACATTGTTCATAGCTGGAGTTTTTACGGAGTGGAATAAAATTCAGAATGAAGTGTTTTGCTCACTTATTTGTATAAATTGTTGCAAATCAGATGCAAATTTAATGTGGCCGACGATATCTATGGAAGTGCTGTCGAAATTCCCTGGGACCTCCAATGGCAACGATTTGACTTCCCTCCAAATCGTGTGAAACTCGAACATGAAAACTCTATAGAACCCCCGTAGAACCTCGCTGGCAGCAACTAAAATATCCACTGAAACCTCTTCTGTCGCGGGAAAAATCTGTTGAAATTTCCTGGAACTTTTGTACTATCATCACAAATCTCCTTAGAACGTTCTCCGAAGTCACAGTCGTTCCTGAGCGAAAAAAAATCGGAGGGGTTTTTTTCAGCGCAGGAGTCTACTTTGGTCCAAAATACGCAATAATACCAACAATCAATACGAAACTAATGATTTTAAATTGGCTCACTACTTGACTAGCCTATTGGTCCCAAGCAAACGATTAACGTATCCCATTCTAGTCAAAATTCTAGTACTACGTAATGTTTGTTTTGATTCGCTATGAAAGTTTGACAGATAAAATGAGGGGTTATTGGTTTTTCCTTTGTTTCGAGGGGTGAATCGATTAGCTTGGGACCGAAGAGAGTACCAGAGCTGAGCCAAAAAGTTGAGCACGTTATTTCGGGACCTTCTAGTCTTAGAGTTACCTCTATGATAATACTGTTATTTTTAATTGTTTGAGTCGTTTCGAATCACGTTTGGACGATAACAATACTTCTATCTATTTCAACGAACCACAATGATAAAAAAGTGGTTCGATTTGACAGCTCGAAAGTGGTTCCGTCTTCGCACCACTCAGGTTTTTACATACCTATTTTGATTTTTGGACCACCCTAATGAAGAATAATTGGACTACCCTAGTGAATTATTTCGTATTAGATCCTAAATGGTGGTTTAATTCGATATATAAGCAGGTTGGAGACAATTGGGAACAGTTTTAGAAGCTGACTCATCAATCTTCTATATTCCATATAGAAATCATGAAAAAAATCCCAGAAGTCCCAGAAAGTCGATTTTTGAAAAAAAAATTTTTCGAGATAACAAAAAATCTCGACGTTTCATGCATTTTTAAGACATTTGGCATCAAATTTTTTATTTTTGATTTCCGAAATGTCATGTAACCCCTCCCCCCCCCTCCCCCCTTGGGAGATTTTCGAGAGTGAAAAAAGTCAAACTTTGACGCGTTTGCGCCATCCCTAAATCATGTCCGATTGAGCTAAAATTTGGCATAGGGTCCTTTTTCGAGGCAATAAACATTTTGTATATGGTTTGTTAGCGAAATTTGATGGTCAAATTTTTCCCATACATTCATTGGCAGTCTAATGTCCACTGTGAGACATTTTCCTTTTTTTCTATATGAACATAGAATTTTTCGTTGTTTAATCATAAACGAATGAACAAATCGTATTTATGTGAGTAATTGCCATGTATACCGGATATTCTAGGTTCTCCAAATCGTCCTGGAGTTCAGTTGATTTGTTCTATCAACCAAGACTGCAATAATGTCTATAGTATCGAAATATGTCCAAACAGATTTAAAGTGTCTATGTGGATCAAGCATGATCTATTTCCGAGTAATCCAGATGTTCAAGGTTCTTCAAATCGTCCTGGAGTTCAAATAATTTGATCTACTAGATCAACCCATATTGGGACAATGTCTTTAGTATTGAAATATTTCCAGACAGATGCACACATTTTTCGATACTACAGATATTATTGCAGTCTTGGTTGATCTAGTAGAACAAATCAACTGATGTCCTGGACGATTTGGAAAACCTATAATTTCCGGTATACATAGTAATGAATCGTGCATGATCCACAAAGTCACATATTTACGATTCGATTATGATTTGACTACGAAAAAAATATCATGAAAATGTCCCACCATTGGAATATCAGTGTAAATACACAACCGCGCCGTGACCAACAAGTGTGACTTATGAAATTGGTAATTTCTCGATTATGTGCAGGGTGTTTGGTTTGAATCGGTAAAAAAAGTGATAACACTAGAGCCAAATTAACTACAAAATTTGGGACAGCAAAATACGTCAAAGACGCAAAGGTTAACTTTCAAGAAAATTTGCATTTCAAATGAAAATGCATTATTTTTTTTAAATAATCTAGGCCGGTATTATTCAATAGAATCTCATAGTGTAAGGGTGTTTTATTATGTTCACTAATTACTCAGAATTTATAAAAGAAATAAATAACTGAAGAAGATACAAAGCTATTAAAAAAAAACAAAGGTTACAAACGATACTCCTTTAGCTCAGTCGGCAAAGGTGCAGCTATAAAGCAAGTGCATGCTGGAGGCGACTAAGTTCGATTCCCGTCCGGTCTATTAATTTTTCGGGTTGGAAAATTTCTCTACTTCCTTTGGGCATAGGATGGTACAGGCATAGAAAGCTCTCAAATAAAATGTGAAAGTACTTCAAAGAACACTAAGTTGAGAGCAGGCAAAAATCTAATATGCTATTAGCAATTTGCTTGAAATGCCATGTTAGTAGTATACAAATGGTATTTTTAGGCAATGAAAACAGTTTTTTGTCGCGGATTAGTATTTGAAGTCGCGGATGTCTTTTGAGAAATCGTGGATTTCGCGGATCAAATTTAGAAAATTATGTAACAGCCCTGAACGTGGCTATCATTGATGCCGGTCTTTTGTTCAATTACATCCTGGAAAACATTATGTGTGAATCCTAGATAAAGGGTGATACGGTCAAAATTTGGTCAAGGGAAAACGCGTGTAAATCGGTGAAATCGTTTATTTAAAAAATCAAATTAAATTTCTTTTTCAAGTTCAATTAGTATAAAATTCAGGAAAAATATTCAGTTAGGCTTCCGCTTTTCCAAATCCGAATTGCCGGGCCTTACGCTTGACCCCTGCCATCAGATTTTGTACAGCCACCTTGTCCACCTTCTTCGCCGCAGAAAGCCAGTTTGCCTTGAACTGCTGCTCGCCCTTAGCAGTTTTTTTGGTCTTATTTAGGTTCCGCTTGACAATAGCCCAGTATTTCTCAATTGGGCGGAGCTCTGGCGTGTTGGGAGGGTTCTTGTCCTTGGGAACCACCTGCACGTTGTTGGCGGCGTACCACTCCATGGCCTTTTTACCGTAATGGCAAGATGCCAAATCCGGCCAAAACAGTACGGAACAACCGTGTTTCTTCAGGAAAGGCAGCAGACGTTTATTCAAACACTCTTTCACGTAAATTTCTTGGTTGACAGTCCCGGACGCTATGAAAATGCTGCTTTTCAAGCCACAGGTACAGATGGCTTGCCAAACCAGATATTTCTTTGCGAACTTTGACAGTTTCATGTGCTTGAAAACATCTGCTACCTTTCCCCTTCCTTTTGCCGTATAAAACTCCCGTCCCGGAAGCTGCTTGTAGTCGGCTTTGACGTAGGTTTCGTCGTCCATTACCACGCAGTCAAACTTCGTCAGCATCGTCGTGTACAGCCTCCGGGATCGCGCTTTGGCCGTCGTATTTTGTTTATCATCGCGATTTGGAGTCACTACCTTCTTGTAAGTCGATAGTCCGGCTCGTTTATTGGCTCGATGCACGGTTGTAGACGATACACCCAGCTTATTTGCGGCATCTCGGAGAGAGAGGTCGTCTCAGCGGCTTCCGGTTTTCGATTTCCCCCCGATCCAGACTTCCTGGCTGTCGACAAACGTTCCCCAAACACTTTAATTACATTTGTAACGGTTGATTTGGCAACTTTTAGCGATTTTGCCAACTTTGCGTGCGAGTAGCTCGGATTTTCGCGATGCGCGAGCAAAATTTTGATACGCTGCTCTTCTTGCTTGGACGGCATTTTGACAACTGAAGAGTGAATTCCAAAATCAAAATAGGAGCAACATTCTACACACACACACACCTTCAAAATTGAAAGAAATACGTCAAGTTGATATTGACCAAATTTTGACCGTATCACCCTTTAGAGCAACGATCCATTGTCACAAAAGATTATTGAATACCTCCAGATATGCCGATGTGACGTTTTTTTAGAAACCTCTTCGGATTAGAAGGGACACCATCGGCTATCGTGGGGACACATATATCTGAAATTGTCGCTTGGTGCCCTCACGAATAGATTTCGAATGTTGAACTCCGGTCGCCGGTTTCACCTGAAACCGATATCAACAGAAATCCGAGTACGAAAGTGGTGCCTATATTACAAGGGAATTTCTCAATCTCCAATAACCTGTACAGACCGATTGTCACTGTTTGAACTTTTATGTATTTACTCTTCAGTTTTCCATAGTTTTTTTTTACTCAATATTTGTTTTGCTTACTTTTCACATTCAATTGTTGTTGATTTTTTTCATATGTCCAATTTTTTTTGTTTTTACAATATGTTTTGTTTTTCATCTAAAATTTTTCCTTCAGACCTGCAGCGTGTGTCTGCGTTTGCAGCACAAAATTCGTACAATTGCATTTGTTTTGTTTTGTTTTTTTTTTCTTCTTTCTCTTTCCTGACAATATGGATCCAAATGGAGTTTTCCTGCGTCTACAAGTGCTTGCCAAACGTTTTGTTTTGTTTTCCTTCCAACTGATGTGTTCAAAGTGCTAGATTTCATTTTTGTTTGCATGATCAACTACTACATCCTCAAAGACAACATTCATTTGAAACAAAGGGGTCAATGCTTGGTAATATTTTTCTTGTTTTTTCTTCTTTAATTTTATTTTACTTTAAACTGTATCTCGGCATGTGTTAGTGTTTTTGTGTGATTCGGCCAACTGAACCTCGTTCATTTGTTTTAAATTGTCATTAATGGTTAAGCTTCCTTAGTGTGTGGGTGTGACCTTAGCGATTAGTATTTAATTCTGGGATTTTACTGACTACTGCGTTTGACTTCATTTGTTTATGTGGATGTGTGAGTTTGTTTGATGCCTTTTCTTTTAATCAATGTACGTCGTAAGAGGGCGGTTCGATGGACTAATCTTCTAAAAAATGTGCTTCTCAAAGTGAGTTTTGTCCATTTTTGATTTTGTTGGAAACGGTGTGGCGGGAATGGTTGAAAGTACGGTTTTCGTCAAAGAGAGAGTAGTCGCTTTAGTAGTTAATGACTTTTATGAAAGGTGCCTTTTTTGTTGTTATTCATGGAAGTGCGTGGAAAGTTTGTCGCCTTTCTAGGATGTGTGCGTGATGGGTAACAGGAGTAAAGAGAGAGAGAGACAGAACTAGCAGACAGTGTCCTTTAGTTTTGGCGAAAGAGTTGGGATGAGGATTCTGCGTACGATTGAAGGTTCCAGGTAAAGTAGCACTTGTTGTTGCTCTAAAAAATGGTGTGTTCTAGTTGGATGGGAAATGATCGCTCTAGCTTTACAAAGGGAAGGGAAGGGGGGGGGGGGGCGTATTTTAGTATTTTGTAACGTTTGGTTTTTCCACTACTACAACTCACAGTAAAATTTGTTAATAAATTCTTGTACTTTCTACTACTTTTTTTTTCCTAATTCTAGCTCTTCTTTCAAAGACATTTTGTCATTAATTAACGTTGCAAATAGTATGTACAATTTGTGTTAATATTTAATCATCCTTTCTATAGACAAACTTATGTTTTTTTTTCACCGTTCTGTATATATATGTTTTTTATTTTTTACTGCAACTTACCAACTAAGATCACTAGATGCCATCCCGTGGTCAAGCACGAAATGGATCTGAATAAATTTCACGATACGCTTGTTTAACCTCTAAATTTTTAATTCAAGAGACTGGGATTTTTCATTTTCATTTCACTTCGATTAGGCGACTGGCTGGTCGCGTTCATGTATGCGTGTATGTGTTTGTGTGTGTGTGTGTGAGAGAGAGAACGCGAGCCGACGTATAATATGTGTCTCGGCATGAGCTGATGATGAGAGATAGAGAGAGAGGCTGAGTTCTGCCAGATAACACTAGGGAGTTTTTCTTTTCTTTTTCTTTTAAGGGCATTGTCGGTAAAGCAGAGCGAGGGTGGACCTGCTCCGAGCGATTGTTATGCATGTGTGCATGGGTGTGTGTGTGTGTGTGGTTGGTTGGTTGGCAAGCAGAGCATCTACGACGGTGATGATGGGTACGAAATGATCAAAATTCAAGCGAATTCAATCGGTTGAGGCTTTCTAATTTAACATATTGATCTATTGTTTTTTTAGCTACTGGTTTATGTTTGTGTAGATTTTTATGTTAACGGTTATGTGAAAGTATGTGTGAGTTAGGTTTAATCTGTTTTCCTATTGTTTGTTTATGCTTGTTTTAGAGTTCCGGTATATTGTTTAGGCTATTGAGTAGTGTTTGTAATAGTAATTATTTATTATCTATTGTTTTTTTTTAGTTGGGGCGTGAATTCTGCCGAATGCATTCAGTTTCGCTATGCGTATTGCAAATAATCTAATGCTTCCGAGTGTTAGCGAATTTTGAAATGCTGAAATCGAGTAAAATTGAGCAAACGGAGATATGATTATACGTTTATATTGATCTTTACCTTTTGTAAAAAGTAATGACAAATCGATTATTATGTTGTGGTTATTCCTGTTGCTGCTGCTGTTGCTGTTGAAGATTTTGTAGTATCTGCTGCGTCGGATCGGATTGCGTACCTGCAGGTATGGAAAATATGCGTAGGTCAAATACTAGTATCGTAGAAATACATTATTTTTTCTCTTTTCAGTTTGGCTTACAAAGGCTGCTTCTTTCGTTCTTTGAAACGGATCTTCTCATGAAAGGAAACACTTGGACCTATTAGCTTCGAGTGAGATTCCTCTCTCATTTGAGGGCAGACCCGGAGAACTTTTAAGTCGTGAGTACACTGTGTATTTCATTGAATAAACTACTTTGCCTATTATTCCATATCAGTCCCATATGGAAAAAGTAGGCAGTTGAAGTTACGAAGTGCAATTCCCATGTAAATATTTGAAAAATCATAGTAATTTACTTGATATTTTTATCAAGTTAAAGCCAGTTGCAATGAAGTCTGCATGATTTGTTATATCAGCAAAAAAATATGGCGATTCAAAAAACATAACTGTAACTTGACTTCTGGACGATTGAATTTCAGGATGGGACTGATATGCGATTACTTTGTTTGATGGGACAAACTGACTTGATGTTGTTCTCACATTTTTTCATGATCAAAGTTCGTAGTTTTATCACGTGTTATGGAAGTAGATTCCAATTGACAGTGGATAACATTATTATCTTAAAATTGACGAATATCCATATGGGAGTGATATGCGATTATAGGCAGTACACGGCCAGATCAATTTGAGTTCAGTTTACTTATAATTGCAAAAAATGCAGGAACTCAGTGATGAGTAATTTGCCTCATGTTTTCCCGTGGAAAACCTCAAAAATCTTCCGGAAAATGATGAACAGTTACGAATTTTTTACTCAGTCCAGAAGAAGTAGCAATAGACCGAGAGAATCCAAACTTTACTTTTTTCATATTCGAGATTTTGTCCCTGAAAAAACATGAGGCAAATTTACTCATCGCTGAGTTCCTTCACTTTTGCGATTTATGAGTAAACTAAACTCAAATTTGGGTTGATCTCATTGGCCGTGTACAGGATTAACTTTAACGTTAGGAATGAATGAAGGATTAAAAAACATCTCTGGAGACTTCGAGACAGATCCAGTGCACTTTAACTGGGCTCATTTAAAGTCGAGAAAGGTTTGGAGAACAACAAGGTACAGTGAACTCCCAGGTCTAATCCAGTTAATTTCAACGAGACCTTGAAAGCGATATTGTCATCCTAAAGCCTTAAATTTAAAATCAACAGTGAGCATGCATAATGGCCTAACTGCGATAATCGATTTTCTCTTTAAATTGCTAAGGGAATCCATTTTTCCCTGCACTTTGGTCAGATAGCGTATAGGGCGTCGTTGTGCCAATTTGGTCGTGGCACATTTCGAGTATGAGAGAGTGATTGCAGTTTGCTCAAAAGTTCCTGAGTAAAATGCAAGTGCTTTCGAAGATTACCTGTAGTTGTTACAGTGAAGATATGCACCCATATTCTCGTTTATGTCTGGGCGTGTTTGCCATACAGAAACATTTTTATTTGATTTTGTGTTGTGGATGGGTTTCGGGTGTGGACGGGCATGTGGGTGATAATATTAAGTTTACGTTAGGATAACGTTGAAAAATTGAGCAATGTATCGCTTCAGTTTGAGAAGCACTTCACTTCGCAACCGATGAACCATTCTGACGGCCCACATTACCGTGTGTTGACAGGGTCCAATATTGGACAGTTTGATGTTTATAAAGTACCATCAGTTAAAACTGTATTTTTAACTTTCGCTCTATACATTCTGAGGTGTTTCTTAGAAGATTATCATGTTGGTGTATGCTGATTCAAAGAGTAAATGGTATTAACATTGAGCTGTCCATAGCAACTACCCCCCAAACTCAGCAACACAAAGCCTTTCGGTGAAATGGGCCCCTCAAAACATAGGAAAATCCACTAACCCCTCATTTCTTCTGTCAAACTTTCATAGCTAATCAAAACAAACATTGTGTAGTACTAGAATTTCGACTAGAATGGGGTACGTTAATCGATTTGCTTGGGACCAATAGGCTAGTCAAGTAGTGAGCCAATTTAAAATCGATAGTTTCGTATTGATTGTTGGTAGTACTGCTGCAGCGGCACTAGGTACTACAATCCCGGACCGAAGAAATGACTGGTTTGACGGCGAATGCAAACTGTTAGTAGAGGAGAAGAATGCAACACGGGCCATAATGCTGCAACATCGCACGAGATTGAATGTGGAGCGATACAGACAAAACTCGGTTTTCCGAAGGAAGAAGCGTCAGCAGGAAGACCGAGATCGCGAGGCGATGGAAAATCTGTACCGCGTAAACGACACATGGAAGTTCTACGGGAAGCTAAATAGTTCGCGCAAAGGCTACGTGCCGCAAGCCGATATGTGCAAGGACTTGGACGGTAACCTTCTCACGAACGAGTGTGAGGTGATTCAGAGGTGGAAGCAGTGCTATGACGAGCACCTCAACGGTGAAGCAGCATAAAACGAAGAGGACAGGCTACCGGCCCCTGATCTTCAAGAAGTTGAAGAGGAGATCAGTCGGCTGAAGAACAACAAAGCAACTGGTGTAGATCAACTACCAAGTGAGCTATTAAAATACGGTGGTGAAGCACTGGCTAGAGCGCTGCACTGGGTAATTGCCAAGATTTGGGAGGAGGAGATATTACCGGAGGAGTGGATGGAAGGTGTCGTATGCCCAATCTACAAAAAGGGTGACAAGTTGGATTGCTGCAACTACCGCGCGATCACACTGCTGAGCGCCGCCTACAAGGTACTCTCCCAAATTCTATGCCGCCGCCTGTCACCATTTGCAAGAGAGTTCGTGGGGCAATACCAGGCGGGATTCATGAGTGCCCGCGCTACCACGGACCAAATTTTCGCGATTCGGCAGGTTCTGCAGAAATGCCGCGAATACAACGTGCCCACACATAATTTTTTCATCAATTTCAAATCCGCATACGACACAATCGATAGAGATCAGCTATGGCAGATTATGCACGAGTACGGATTTCCGGATAAACTGACGCGACTGGTCAAGGCTACGATGGATCGAGTGATGTGCGTTGTTCGAGTATCGGGGACACTCTCGAGGCCCTTTGAATCTCGAAGGGGGTTACGGCAAGGTGATGGACTTTCGTGTCTGCTATTCAACATCGCGTTAGAAGGTGTGATCAGAAGAGCTGAGATGGACACGAGTGGCACGATATTCAGGACTTCCAGCTCCTTGGCTTCGCCGATGACATTGACATTATGGCACGGAGCTTTGAGATGATGGCGGAAACGTACATCAGACTGAAGGCTGAAGCTAGGCGGATTGGACTTGCCATCAACGCATCAAAGACAAAATACATGAAAGGAAGAGGTTCTAGGGAAGACAATGTTAGCCTCCCACCCCGAGTTCAGATTGACGGTGACGAAATCGAGGTGGTCGATGAGTTCGTGTATGTGGGCTTACTGGTGACCGCCGAAAATGATACCAGCAGAGAAATTCAAAGACGCATTATGGCAGGGAATCGTGCCTACTTTGGACTCCGGAGGACGCTCCGGTCGAATAAAATTCGCCGCCGCACGAAGTTGACTGTCTACAAGACGCTGATTAGACCGGTGATCCTCTACGGCCACGAGACCTGGACTATGCTCGTGGAGGACCAACGCGCCCTTGGTGTTTTCGAATGGAAGATGTTGCGTACCATCTACGGTGGAGTGCAGATGGATGACGGAACGTGGAGGAGGCGAATGAACCACGAATTGCACCAGCTGCTGGGAGAACCATCCATCGTCCACATTGCAAAAATTGGGCGACTACGGTGGGCTGGGCACGTCGTAAGAATGCCGCACGACGACCCAGTGAAAATGGTTCTAGAAAGCGACCCAACAGGAACACGAAGAAGATGCGTGCAGCGGGCAAGGTGGATCGACCAAGTAGAAGGTGATCTGCGAACCCTTCGCAGACTACGAGGCTGGCGAACTGTAGCCATGGATCGAGTAGAGTGGAGACGACTTCTTCGGACAGCAGAGGACAACAAGGTCTTAGCAACAATCAATACGAAACTAACGATTTTAAATTGGCTCACCTATTGGACCTAAGGACCTGTCCACCATCACCCGTACCGGTTCCCGCTTTGTAGTTTGAGGAGATTTAAACGCTCGCCATGAGGCCTGGCGGAACTATCAGCAGAACCAGAACGGTCGTCTGCTGTTCGACCACTCACAGCATGGGCTGTACTCCGTTTGGGTTTCGAATGAGCCAACATTCATCTCACTGGCGGGCAACTCATCGACGCTAGACCTGTTTCTTACAAATACTGGCTTGTCCAAGCCGGTAGCCTTGAACGAACTCAGCTCCGACCATCAACCGGTGGTGGCTGAACTGGGATACAACGTAGCTCCTGCTCCAAGCCTGCGCAAGGACTACCATCGCGTAAACTGGGCCCAGTTTGGACGCGTGGTAGACAGACACATCATCGACAACCCGCCGCTTGACTCCGTGGAGGACATAGACCGAGCGTTGGAGGGACTTCACCAAGCCATAACCGTGGCTGACGAGGCGTGCGTCCGACGAGTTCCTGTGAGGGGTAAGTTTATTGCCATTGATTCCCACACCCAACTATTGATTCGACTGAGAAATGTTCGTAGACGCCAGTTCCAAAGAACCGGAGATCTAGCGTGGAAACGTGAAATGGCCGATCTAAACAAGGAGATTGCTTCCAGAATGGTCTCACTCCGGAATGAAAGTTTCGGGTGGCTCATCCAGAATCTGGTTGACCGCTCCAGATCATTCTGGAAGGTTGCCAAGGTCCTAAAGACGCACCCCAAACCCATTCCTCCACTCAAAGATGAAAATGATGACGATCGGCTCATAATCACCCCTCAGGAGAAAGCAAATGCGATTGGTGAGCATATTGCCAAATCGCACTTGCTTGGCTTCAACATCCAAAGTCCGCTCGAAGTTCAGGTTGAGCAATGCGTACTCAACCTTGATTCCTCCCCTTGTGCCATCCCTCCGGAGGATAGAATCACAGTGGAACAGATTTGCTCAACGCTGAAATGCACCAAAAAC